TTTCTGTTGTTTTATGGGGGGGGGGGGGGGGTCTTGTGTGTTCCATGGAAGCAATAACTACATGTAGGTTTAGAAGAACATGAGAGGGAATAATGATAATAATAATAAAACTTTCATTTTTGGGTGAACTATTCCTTTAATCTACAGTGGGTACGGAAAGTATTCAGACCCCCTTAAATTTTTCACTCTTTTTAATAAATCTGCAAAAATGTCAACAATTCTGTGTTTTTCTGTCAATATGGGGTGCTGTGTGTACATTAATGAGGAAAAAAAAAGAACTTAAATTATTTTAGCAAATGGCTGCAATATAACAAAGAGTGAAAAATTTAAGGGGGTCTGAATACTTTCCGTACCCACTGTATATCATTCTGCAGTGCTCTATTCTGGGAAATCATTCTAAAATAAATGATTCTATAAGGAACCACTTACCTCCCATTTTTGTCATCTTCTGAAATAAAGGGAGGGATGGACGATCTGCAAAAACCTCACTTTGGTGATATAGGCACTCTTTAATGGCATCATAACCATTTAGAATAACAGTCGAGATTCCTCCCAGGTCTAGACTGAAAATCTGGATAATAAAATGGCAATATTCATTAATCCACTCCCCCTGCCAAACATATTTCTACTAATGAAGGAGTATAATTAGAAGGCTACATTCACTCTCATGGATACAGTGAGGAAATGAATTAGGCATGCTGACTCAGCATGTCTTGGCCATTCTACAAAACTGAGTGCTGCGGCGCTCTGCCAAAAACGCAACGGCAAATGCAAGCCTCTTTTGTTCTTTTCAAGCACCCCAGCTACACTTCTCGCGACGCGACGCGTCAAGAAGAGAACGCTGTGATTCTCTAACACGGACCAATCAGCTGCGAGCTCGATGAGAGACCTCAGCAGTAAAATGAGGAAATAACTGGCGAACTTTAGTTTTAGTGGACTCCCACTAGGGCTGCACAATTAATCGAATTTCTAATCGCAGTTACAATTATGGATGCCTCAATTACGCAATCGTTCAAAGCGGCAATTAATCGTTCAAAGTCCACTTATGTTATTCTGCACGCTTGAGATATGTGTTTTTCTTTCTACATGTTATCTTAAGGGTTTTCCCATTGTTTTAGTTTTAGTATAACATTATAATACCATTCATATTTTAACTTTTTTATCATTTAAAGAAGAAACCAATCCGATGTATATTTGACATTTGAAGGCTTAATACTATAGAAGAGCACTAAAGGATTTTCAGTTAGGAGTGTTTTCAGCTTGTTTATTTTCATATAAAAATACGGCATGCAGTTGCATCAAACTATGGTATAGACATCTTTCAATGTAAATCGTGATACTCGTAATTAATAATCGCAATGACAATTTCAAGGGAATAATAGATAATTATGATTTTTGTCATAATCGTGCAGCCCTATCTCCCACTTAATAATAATAATAATTAAATAAAGTATCTTTAACTACTATGTACTAACATTTAAATTATTCATTTATTACAATCCTTCATGTTTTACGTTGGAAATTCAAGAACACAGTAAGTAGCCTATATTATTATTAATAGTATTAATCAATGTTCTTAATAGTAATACGTTATCAACTGATAGTATACACTAGCAGTAAAAAGTTTTTGAACAGGAAGATTTTGTAATGTTTTTAAAAGAATTCTCTTCTGCTCACCAAGCCTGCATTAAATACAGCAAAAGCAGTAATATTGTGAATATTTTTACTATTTAAAATGATTGCTTTCTATTTGAATATATTTTGAAATGTAATTTATTCCTATGAGCAAACACGAAAAATCTTACTGTTAAAAACACTTTTGACTGGTAGTGTATATATGTAGTGTATATTTGCATCTTGCCAGAAATGAAAAACTCTGCTTAGGGCGCAACAACGGACGATTCCATTGTGGACAACTTCTTTCATTACAAGACAGGGTGTAAGATGCAATACGCTATTATACATAATAATTATCATGTGGGGGTTTAAACTCGCTTTTTAAACAGCAAAACCAAACGTGGCAACAAAAAATATAAGCAAAAACCTAAAGTTAAAAGCAGACAAGTCTGCTGTCTATATTTTGTGATTATGTGCAAGTAAATAAGAGAAAGTGCATGAGGACTGAGAGTGAAGTGTCATCCGTACCTGTCCGTGGATATCACTCTGCCTCTTCATGTAGACGTGAGGCTCTGTGGCCAGGGACAGAATATTCCCTATCATGGGTAAAGGTGTCGGTCCAGGGGGAAACCCTCGGGGTCTCCGCTGCTTTACGAGCTGGCGAATTACCAGCAAAATGAAGAGTGTAACGAACAAACTGCCCAGACATATGAGCGTCTGCTCCCAAGACACAGAGAACAGAGATGTCAACCGTTTAATCGATACCATTTTAGATGCAACCACTTTGAGATAATCTGTGCTTTCTGAAAAGTTTCTAGCGCTCCGTTCTTTGTCAGTCAGTGTATTGGAAAATCACCTTACACATGTTGCTCTATAACCCCCGCCTCTTAAAGGCTAAGATTGGCTGGCGGAAAGAGCGCTTTGGATGAACTTGCATTGTGTTTGATTAAACGGTGGCCAGAACTATTGATCGCGAGAATTCAGACCGATTTCTTTTCATCAGGGCAGGCGTCACAGCTACATTTCCAAGCGCGTTCTTCTTTGTAACTTGCAACATACATGTGGCCACGCCCACCCATACAAACCAAAAAGGACTTTGCAGTGGAAACCTTTTCTTTGAACTAATGGTTGATTCATCGAATCTTTTTATTTCCCCCCCACAAAAATGACTCGTTCACTGATTCATTCAATGTCCGTCTCTGCGGATACATCGTTGCTCCACTAGGTGGGGACAAGCGAGAGTGCATGTAATGATTAAATCATTTTCTGAACTGATTCATTAAAGGTGCAATAGGTGATTGTCTTCAGAAACATTTTTTGTTATGCTGGTTGAAAGTCTCTTCACATCCAGATTGCAATCATTAAGTTAAGTGGTCTAAATGTATTTATCTGTATTTACATATTCTGTGGAAGGCGTAAGACCAAGAAATGTTCGTCCAATCAAAACGCTCGGTCTGAGCGTTTTAATTGGCTTTCCTACCTGTCTGTCAACGTATGTATTTGCATACCTCTGCGCACCTGGTTCATGCAGACAGAATACATCATCAGCGCGTTCACGCACGCTGTGCAGACAGAGCGAGAATGGTAGACAAGCATCAACAACCCGATCTTCCTTCCTGGTATTGTAGTACTTTTAAGGTTCTTTCTCACCGGTGAATGACACATGATGTAGCCCAGCTGTTCCCAATTCCAGTCCTCGCGCCCCCCCGCTCTGCATATTTTGCATGTCTCGCTTAGTTAACACACCCGATTCAGATAACCAGCTCGTTAGAAGTGAGCTATGTGCATGAACTGTGTTCCGATCGATATGATCCCTACACAGTATTCATTGCTCCCTACTCCCTGAGCAGGGGAAATCCATTGACGTTTACTTCACTTCGTAACATTCATTCATGGATTTGCGCTGCGCAGCGTCTTCACACACAGACGAAACTTACTAGAGAAGTGTGAAGTGTGTGCAAGGACTGGAATTGGGAACAGCTGATGTAGCCTATTGTATGTTGTCTCTGGTATTCTGGTCTGTGAGCGTATAAGCGTTCAGGGGGCGTGGCTTTGGACGGCAATTGCAGGGAGGGTGGGACGTTCGCTTTCAGTGCTATCAGGCTAAAGTTAGCATTTGCCAAGATCTCCTACTGCACCTTTAAACAACAGTCTACATAGACACAAGTCTTATCTGCAACAAACGTGGCTACAAATCCACTTAAAAACTCCAAAAAAAGAATCTTAAGAGGAAATCTTAATTATTTCCTCAAGAATTGCAACATGCTATGAGCTGTAAAAATACAATATTTGCATAATTAAGAAGTTACAAGTAGACCTACCTATGTAATTTTTTACGCATTCATAGTTCCGCTGAAGCGTTTCTTGCGAACAAACCACATGCCCCCCTCATTCAGTCGGTCGGCAGATCTTCATTCACAAACAGTTATTCACAGTTCAAAATGTCCAGTTATTTCATTCCATTCATAAACATATCTAGTTTAGTCTCCTTCAGACTGTAAAGGTGACATATCGTGAAAATCTGACTTTTCCAGGTTTTAAGTGCTATAATCAGGTTCCTGGTGCATCTACCAACCAAGGAAACGTTAAAAAGATTAACCCAGTAACTTTGTTTTGGTAAGCCTTTTTATGCAAGCGTCTGAAAAAACGAGCGTGTCTGATTTCGCTCCCCTAGTGACGTTGCAAAGGGATCTCATTATAATATTACCACCCCTTAATCTGTAAGTTTCCACCCACGGCGCCATCATTTTGATATCGCAAGCGACAATGGTGTACTAGTTCTAATGACATGGCGAAAGTTCGAGCAAAACATGCTAACTGTTCTGTCTTTGGCTGTACAGATGAGCACAGAACACTATTTAGAGTCTCAGCCTCAGAGCAGACAACAGAGCAGTGGATCTATTGATTTATTTACTGTATATTGCTGCTGCCACACAGATCTAAAATAAACATATGATTTATTTCCCAGCTGTTTACCTTCACAGACATAATCGACTGTTTTTGTAACTCATTTGTGTTTTTAACATAAACTTGTGTGTGAATGAAAACTTAGTTTAATACTCACATGCTGTGACAGCCGCTTTCTGTCCGTGTGCTTCGGATGTGCACACAGAAAACCGTATATCAGAAGTTTAAACTAATATGGTTTAAAACGCATGATTTCAGCGCGATAAACATGATAATCAGAACCAAAACAGATGTTTTTTTAGCAGGTCCGAGCTATAATGGCGCGTCTCTATGGCGGGGAGCATCAGCTCATTTGCATTTAAAGAGACAGGCCCGAAAAACAGCGTGTTTCTGCTTCCACTCAAAATAGGAATTTTCAAAATGATATAATAAATGATCTGTGGGGTATTTTGAGCTGAAACGTCACAGACACATTCTGGGGACACCAGAGACGTATGTTACATATTGTAAAAAGGGGCATAATATGTCTCCTTTAAAGATCGACTTGTTCATTGAAGGAAGCGCGTATCCATTCAGTAGTTCCAACCAATGAGCCGCTCCTTTACAGCCCGTACTCGAATGCTATTTGCTCGTGTTACAGTCAGTCCTTGATTGCTACTACCTTGACAAGTAAAAGGCATATTAAACTATAAATTACACATTTTGAAATCAGTCACGTGCATCAAAAGGTAGAGATTTGAAGTGCACGAAAAACATGATTCAGGAAAGCGATTGTGAATAATTTATAAAAAAAAACGAATTCGTTCACGAACGAAACATCACCGCTTTGAATTGATTAAATTTACTATAAATAATGTGTTTGACTGAATTTCCGAAGAATATTTTACAGAGAGTTAAAGATTTACGATAATGGTAAATTTTAAAGAACTTAAAAAAGGTTAGAACATTTCTTTTGTCAATAGTCCAGCAGCTCCCTTCCATGAAAAGTGAGAGAAAGAGATAGTGTGTTTTGCAAACGAAGTAAAACCAGTTTTGGCACTGTAGGATTTGTGCTACAAACTTTGACCTTATGGTTTGAAATTCCCCTCCAGTCATGTCAGCATTTTTTCTGCTATTTTAACCAAGCAGCGACCTGCAAGTTCTCAGCACATTTATCAAGTTATCACAGGCATCTATTTATAAGCACATATTATATACACTGTGATCATTTATATTATCTGTAAGGTGATGTGGGTGCATTTAATTATTTAAACAAAAGCATTATGCTTCTGCACCATGTATAATGCATGCAAGCATTTATAAACATATAAAGGGTTTGATGATATTATCAAGTGCTAGGCACTGCAGAATCATTCATATTTAAAACTCGGTAGTTCGTCATAAATATTGTAATGTATTACTCATATTTAATTAGGAAATTGTTTTCCTATTAATCCAACCAACAATTCAGAATCAACAATTGAATTCAAGACAGCACAAAACATTTGCACTTCCACAGTGCACAAAATCACTAAATAAAAGAACAACAAAAAACTAACCAAAAGAAAAAAAAAATCAGTAAATAGTCTTACATATGTTATCAATGAACAGCGCTTCAGTAAAAATTGAATAGTGCCTTCAGAGTGGCATAAACCTTTTATCTTGATTGCAACCTATAAAAATTGCATGAGCTGATATTTATAAACTGTGTAATGTGGGAAATTCTGTCCTGAGAACATAATAGGTTTGAAGAGGAAAAACAAAGCAAATGTCTTTGCATAACAGAAATCAAACCAACCTCTGATGTTTTTATTCTATTAAAGGTGTGAATGAAGTATCAGAGTGTTAACAGTACATATTAATTTGATCATAAATCATCCTGTTTAGTTTTTCCAGTAGAAATGTGATTTTGCACATTGATGACGCTCCATTCTGTGGTATCTTGGGCCTTATTATCTATGGAGCCATTCCATCAGTATGGATAGATAAATCCAGCAAGTCTCAGAGGATTCTGTTCAAAGACTGCAGTGTTTGTGATACATAATGAGGACATCTAGAACATTCAATACATCTCCCCATAAGAAACACATCGTATTATGGTCTCAGTCAACATAGATTAATCAATAAAGGAAAGTGGGACCTCAGAGGAGCACCGGCACATAACGAAAATAAATCCTTTGCTGTGATTTTAGCCAAAGATGAAGCCCGAAAATGTAATTAGTAATGGAGGACGCCGTGATTCAGAAATAGCTTTTTTCCTGCATAGTGCATTTTGCTGTAGTGTTGCACATGCAGTAAGCAGTTTTGAATGGGCCCAGCTCATACCCATCAGAGGTGTCTCAGTCATTCTTTTTGTTAGTCCTTTGTGACTTGGTGGCTTGCCAATCCCAGTCAGATGTATGTAGTCTAAATAAAAGGATGGTGTGTGATCAGTAAAGCACACAGACGAGATTATGATGAACTCTAACTCACTCAAGAGGGTTGATTGATGAGCAACACTCAGTGATTAAATCTCATTTCCTTAATGTCTAAGGATGAACTGTGCTGGCTCCTCACTGACCATTTAGTGCTACTCTTTGTCTCAGAGAGGGTTATGGATTGTGTTTAGTTTTCCTCTCAGAGTCATTACCAATCACACTTAATCCCTGTTCGGTTCCGTCTGCAGGTGTTTAAACAGCCGTGCAATCCAGAAAAGCTTTGTTGGATGTCTTCTGCACCACGATAACAGCTGCGGTTAGCGATGCCGTTCCTTAGATGAACTCACAAAGCGTGTCATAGGCGAATGCCGCCCATGAACAAACGTAATCCAAAAGGACATCATCTGCCTCGAAACGAAATGATTATCTGTCTTCTGAAATAACTTACAGAAGGCCGGGTGGAGTGAGTGATGTTAAAGCATGACCAAATTTGAAAGGTTACAGTATCGACTTCAAAGTTTCACGCAGGAAAGGAAAAC